CCTCCTCCTCCCTCCGCCTCCTCCTTCTTACACGGAGGCGGACCTGGAGGGATCCCGACCCAGCTCTCGCGAGAAGATACTCCTCACTTCACGCGAGATCACACAAGCCCGGGAGTTGGGGAGGTGGAAGAGCCCCCGTTGGTCACCTAAGCTGCGCTTCAGCTTTCCCCTGGTGGAGCTAATCCATCCCCATCACGTGTCGAGGGAGACCGAAGCACTGTGGGAAGCGCTGTTAGAAGGACTCGGTGAGCCGAAGAGGTTGATGGGAAACTCCCTGCACATTCATCGGTCCCTGGTTGGCCTGATTGGCACTTGTTCTAGAAGCAAGTGCCTTGACGTTTTTCGTGAAAGTTGTGGTATCTATTGATTAGAATAGGTACCTCTGTGTTTCTGCTTCACCCTCCCCCAACTAAATGCTGAAGAAACAACCAAATGACTCATAGCCACTCTATTAGACAGAGGAGAACTGCCCCATGAGGTTTACAAGGCTGTAAATCTTCACAAAGCAGACTGTTTCATCTTTCTTTCACAGAGGGGCATTTGGATAGCAGCCAAATGCTGTTACCACTGCACTACCAGAGATCCTTGTTGTTGTTGTTATTTGCCATCGAGTCCCCTTTATATTGGAAACCTCCCAATTAAAACAAAATGAAACCATTTATTTGACAGGTGTTTTCACGTACTCTATCTTACTAAAGAAACTAACCGTAAAAGCTAGCAAGGATCAAAATACAAGCACAGATTCTAGCATTAATATCTTAATAAATATTTGTTGAAGGACTTTTCACAGCAAACTTCCCAATTCTTTTTGAAAAATATTGTTGTTGTTATTTGCCGTGGAGTCGGCCCCGACTCATAGCGACCCCTCCTTGGGTTTTCGAGGCAGTATCACTACGGAAGTAGGATTGCCCAACCTTCTTTCCAAGGAGTGGCTGGTGGGTTTGAACCACCAGTTTGAAAAATATACATGAAGAAAAAAATGAGGACTAGGGGTAAGGAAATTAACAAAAGGAAACCACATATGAACTACTATGTGCCAGGTCATGTTAGGAAATGTTTAGTTTTTACTATTTTTATTTCATTTACTTCACAAAATAATCCTAAAAATTAGATACTAAGTACTCTTTGTTACTGAGAAACTGAAGAATATAGGTTAAGAAAATGGCTATGAATTGTTATTAAACATAAGGCACTTCCCAAAGTAAAACCAGACATACAACAAAAGTATCGGTGAAAGTAAATCTACCACAAATTAGAACACCAACGGAAAAGTACCTTATAAATTATGTGCTTTAAAAAAAAAAAAAAAAACTATGGTTATTACTTCTTGTATGACGGAAAAATTAGTGTATTACTTTCATAAAAGAAATGCCCTGTCAGGGCATTTTTTTTTTCATACATTATTATTTTAATTCTCTTTTATGAAATTCATCATGCTAGAGTTTCCCAACAATGGTTCTTTTAATATTTTCCTTTCCACTGGATAGCTTTGGATGCTGTATCTCTATACTTGATAATAGATTTTTCAAAGGAGGCTTGACCACCATATTAAAAATTACAATCCCATCGCTCCCTTCCCTGGCATACTGTTTTATTTTTCTCCAAATTCACTTTCAAAATCTGGCATGCATTGATTTTACTTATATTGTTTGTCTCCCACCACTAGAATTTAAATTTCATCATAGCAGGGATTTTTGTCTATATACATAATTTCTAGTACAGGTACCTCTTGTACAGACTCAGTGACTATTTGTTGATGACTAATGAAATTACTAGCCATCATTTAAAATTCACAGATGTAGACAACACACAGAGCCCTTTATTCCCACTTCCAGTTTATTACTTCTTATGTAAAGACATGATAGTTACATCCAAAGAAAGGAAGGAATTTTCTCTCAAAGTAACTTCCTCTTCATGATCTTTTATACATAAATGCAGTGAAGTTAAGAGCTTGAACTCAAACATATCTTTCAGGTTTTTTTTAATATCAGAAACAGACAACTAAAAAAGAATGTTTTAAACGAATAAATTCTGTATTTTGCCATACCTGCATTTTAAAAAAGATTCCATTTTCCTGAAATTGTTTAGACACATCATGCAAACAAACACTCTTCTAGGAATGTTTTGCTATCACTCTGTGCTACTGAACAGAAATAAATAATAATAAATAACAGTCATCACTTTCACAAACCCTGTCCCCAACCCAAATGTCTCAAAGTGCATTACAAAAAAACTTCACAACAATCTCACAAGGCACACATAAAAGTTAAACATTGTTTCAATGGTGAACTTTTTTTAAACATGGAAGATAGTAGATACAAGTTTCTAAAAAAAATGTTACTCTTCTTGTGCCCCCTCCCTCCTATCTACACCCCTCCCTCCAAAAATTTCATCCTAGGAAGCAAAAATAAAGAAAAATACTTAAATCACAAGTAAACTACTTCTTAAAGAGATATACTGTCATGCCTACAAATGGCCAATCATAGGTAAAATGGGGGAAAAAAAAAGTAATGCTGAGCTATCCTGTTCTCTAGGAGCTCTGGCAGCCTAGTGCCTAAGGCATTTGACTGCTAACCAGAAGGCTGGCAGTTTAAACCCACCAGCCACTCCTTGGAAGGAGGGTTTGGCAATCTACTTCTGTAGTGATAGCTCCTTGGAAACCCAAGGAGGGGTCGCTATGAGCAGGATCTGACTTGACAGCAGTGAGTAGGGTTGAGTATCATGTTCTCCAGTGGAAGAAAAAGATAATTTATTTAGAATAATTCTCTCTCCAATATGGTACTCAAATACCAACTTTCATAAGGACATAAAACACTTTTTCTTTTCCCCATCTTTGTACTCAAGAATTTGGGAAGCAATAAATACAAAATCATAGAATTTCAGATCTGGAAACCAAACCAAAGAAACCAAACTCACTGCTGTGGAGTCGATGTGACTCATAGCGACCTCTCCTTGGGTTTCTGAAGCAGTATCTCTACGGAAGTACATTGCCCAATCTTCCTTCGGAGAGCAGCTGGTGGGTTTTGAACTTCCAGCCTTCTGATTAGCAGTCAAATGCCTTAGGCACTAGGCCACCAGAGCATCTGGAAACAGTCATATGAATTATCAAGATTTAAACTATTATTTTACATACAAAGTTAAGAGAAGCTCAAGTGATCTGTCCAATGTCACTAACTAGTGATCTGTGTCATAGAATCAGTTTTTCGTCTGTAAAATATGAAAGCTGGATTCTCTAAAGGGTTTTCCAAAGTTAAAATTCTATGTAGGGTATATTTTTCACAAAGGATATTTAATATTCTTAACAATCAACATGATTCTTCACTAGTAAAATTCTTATAAATGGTACAAAGTATGTGACATTTGAAAACACGAAAGGCCTTCAATAACTAAATATAGCACAAATTCTACATAAAACTGAGGTAAATTGAGAAAGAACAGAGTATCTTCCAAGTAAGGTGTAGCCATGTCAGGTTGTTACTGAAAGTAGTTCCTGAATTTAGAGAATATGGTTATCCCTGCAATATATTTTAATCTTTGTTCTAACAACAAAAAAAGATTTATATGTACCTAGGGATATTAGAGAGCAACAGCTCATAATACAATCTGAAATTTTACTCTCACTAAGGTAACCAAACAATCATGGTTTAGCTTTTGGCACATTTTTGGACAGAGAATAAAACTCTAGGGATGGTTAAGGTTTCTATCAACATGTAACAGTTGACAATGGCATTAATGTAAATGAAAAAAATTGTAACTACAACTTAAAGACCACTAATAGCTACCCATGTTTACACTGTTTATCCAGTGACAACTAGAAAATTAATATATAATGCTGATCCAAAAGTAATTAAAAAGGAAGGAAGCATTGGTATACACAGTATGAATAAACCTCAAAGGCATTATGTTGAGTGAAAAAAATTTTTTTAAAGTCTCAAAAGGTCATTGCAAAAAACCCAAACCCATTGTCATCGATTCTGACTCAGCAAGACTTTACAGTTCAGAGCAGAACTGTCCCATAGGGTCCCTAAGACTGTAAATCTTTATGGAAGCAGACTGCTTCATTTTTCTCCTGAGGAGCAGCTGATGGGTTCAAACTGCTGACCTTTTGGTTAGCAGCTGTCATTTCATTTATATGACATTCTGGAAAAGACAAAATGATAACAATGGAGAAACAATCAGTGGTTGCTAGGGGTTAGGGTTAAGAGGATGGGTTGATCACAAAGGGGCAGCATGAAGGCATTTTTTTGAGTGACAGAACTGTTTTATCTCACGATGAAGGTGATAAACACACAAATATATATATGTGTTAAAATTCACAGAACTACAAACCAAAAAGAGGTACATTTTACTATGTTAATTAAATTAAAAAGAAACAAAACACTTATCATTGATCAATTTATAATTTCTAAAAGTAATTTTTTGGAGCTTCATGACAATAGTGTAATTTTATTGGCCACAAAATTATTCAATGCAAATGTATGAAATAAAATCAAGAAACTTGGGCCCAAGTCATCATTTCTAAAATACATATACTATTAATGCAAGGAATTAAAATTATTTTAAGGAATATTAATCCATGTAGAAGGAAATTCTGCTACTCCCAAGTGAATCTGAATTTTGTTCCTTTATGATTTAAAACAACAGGGTCCCTTCTGTTTAGTTTAGAATCCAAGAGCAATTAGTTAAAAGTTTTAAAAAAAACAAACCTTTCATCAGCTCTTAAAACTTGTAACCAATTAATAGTGTGATTTTAGATTTACCCTCTATTGTCCTAATTCCTTAAAGATTTTGGATTTTACATTTAAATCAGTCATCTGTTGTTGTTGTTATGTGCCATCAAGTCAGACCCAACTCATAGCGACCCCTCTTTGGGTTTCCAAGGCAGTATCAGTACGGAAGTAGATTGCCCCATCTTCCTTCTGAGGAGTGGCTGGTGGGTTTGAACCGCCAGCTTTCTGGTTAGCAGTCAAGTGTCTTAGGCACTACGCTACCAGAGCTCCTAAATCAATCATCTAGAGACTCCAAATCAGAATGTGGAAATACTGCTAGACCCCCTTCTGTCAGTAAAATCAAGAATATTTGAGAGAGAAACACCATTTCTCTAAGCATATCACTGGGACTTGTAAATACCATAAGCAGCAAAAGAGAATCCAATCAGTGTTTCCATGCCTCACACAACTTGAGAGCTGTTAGTAAAAGTTCAGAAAGAATAACATGCGTAGGTAAACCAAAATAAGACCTAAAGACAAGGGGGAAAATATTACAAATGCTGCATTTTTACAGAAAGACTTGGTTGAAGGAACTATAAAAGGCTGACATAGCAAGTGTGTGATTCTAATTACAGTAGACTTTGCCTTTTGAGATCAGGCCTAGGTAGTTTTTCACCACTGCTTCTGCCATGGACAGAAGTTAAGTGCTTTTTGAGGGCAGATTTGTGCTTGAAATCCATGTCACAACAGTGGCATTTGTATGGACGATCCCCACTGTGTATGTTCAAGTGGTCCTGAAGGGTGCTTTTGGCAGTAAATGTTTTTAGGCATACAGTACACTGAAAGGGCCGTATGCCCATATGCCCTCGAATGTGCCGGTTGAGATTTTTCTTCTGTGTAAACGTTTTTCCACACTGTAAGCACAAGAAAAGTTTATGCATCTTAAGGTGGCGCAGATAATTTTCAACATGAAGAAAGCCTCGAGGGCACCTGGGGCATTGGTGCCTCAGTGAATAACTCTCTTCCAGATTCTGAATCTCATTCACTGTACCATGACTTCCTTCAGTATTTTCACAAAATATGCCCTGGCCTTGATTCCCAGGAATTTCTGTTACTCTGTTCTCAACTGTAGAATTGATCAGCGAATGCTGTGTTTCAGAGAAATACATGCTTGCTTTTGAAGAGGTACAAGGCTGTGAAAACTGCCCATTTTCTACACCGGCTGTACTGATAGATTCCACACGAAGGATACAGATTTCATTGTCTTTAAAACCTGTATCTACTGTAGGCAGCTCTGGTGACTTCACTTCTTTTCTCTCTGATGTCAAGCTCTCTACTGTAGACTGTAAAGCATTACTTTCTTCTTTTATGTGGAAATCCATGCTTACCGGACTATCTTCTGAAATTTCAATGATCTCACAATCTTTATCTAAATTTTCTTCTTCATTTTTAACCTCTAGATCAGAGGACTGACACAGGTCAGTATGCTGGTTATTGTTTTTCATAGACAGATCAATTTCCAAGTACTTTGACAAAGCTTCTGTGCATTTTTCCACAATGTGAACCATCTGAAGGTAACTAGCTGCAGTCAAGTATTTCAAAAGTTCTTTTCTTTTAACTTCAAGTGCTCCAGTATAGCAAGAGAGCAACAATTTTCTGCCAACTTCTGCACTCTGCAAGATGGTGATCCTGACGTGTTTTGACTGGGTGAGTAAAAACTGATCTCTCATGAAAGTGGAGCAAGCAGCCAAAATCACCTTATGCCCCTGGAACTCAGTGTCATTAATATAAATTGATACATCACAAAACAAATTCTGCTGTCTCAAAAGATTCATTTTCTGCAAGACCACATCTCCTTGCTGTTCAAACTGGAAGTGTAGAACATCAGACTCAGCAGCCATGGTCACAATCTAAGTAAAATAAAACATACACACTGATGTAAGGTTGGGGAATGCTTTCCTCTACTGTGATTTTTTGTGTGTGTAAAAAACAAAACAAATGAAAAAAATCCAAATTCTAATGTGGGTGCTTAAAGTGAATCCCTATGCCCCTGCCTCAAAACTCAGAAATTATGCATTTCTCTGTGATCTCATAGCATTTAACACGTTGAATTGTAACACAATGAATGATATATCACACAGAAAATTAAGTTTCTGTTGTTTATCTCTTTAGCTAAAAGTTATGTCATGATCAAGGGCACTTTCTAATTTTAAATACCCAATACCAAGCAGTACCCACCAAATTCGATTTAACATAGACACCTTAATGTGATCTCCAAACTTCCCACTCCTACCACTACTGTAGGTCCTCATTCTTTTCACCTAAAGCATTGTAATGCCTTCCATCACGTCTCCTTGATACCCACTTTCTCCTATATTCCAAACCACCTTCCTGTCACTAGAATTCTTTTTTTTTTTTTTTTTTTAATTTCATTCTTCTGCTTTAAATCCTCCATGGCTCTCTATCTCCAGGTCAGACTGACCAACCTCCTTAGCTCAGTATACAAGATACTTCACGATCTGGACCTAACCTGTCTTTACAGCATTATCTTCTATTCCTCTATTTCATACTCGAAGTCCCTTTAGTATTAAAAATTTTCATCATTGCCTAGATAGTAACGACCCGAATACACCTTTGTACGTAAGTTGGATTCACGCTTCTAATTCTTTGTTTCCAGTTAGTGATTTGGCTCCTTTAAGGCTCAAACCAAATACTACTTCTGTTACTCTTTCTGTCTTCCCCAGTCTGCGGATCCCAGAGCAACGTGAGATGGTGCCTGATTGATCTGTACTTCTACACGTAGTACAGGGGCTGGAGCAGAGTAGGGGCAGCTCAGGATCATCTGTTGAATTGAAACCGGATACCAAGGTGGCCTCATCGATTTTTCCCGCTAGGCACACAGGTCTCCTCGAGCCAAGCCAGCCAGGGGCAAGGCCCTATCGACCCTGGGTCGAAGCAACAGATTAGCCACCCGGGGTCCGCGTCCTGCTGCCCTCCACGCCCTCCTCCTCTTCCTCAGGACTTCCCACCTGCCCCAGTCTTCCTCGCACTTACTCACAGACTCAGAAAACTAGTCAAGGCTTCCGCGGCTGCGGCGGCCCACACCGGAAGCTGGAATGGGAGGAAACACATCCGGTATCAACCTGCTTTATTCTTCACCCAGGCAGTCTGCGCGCCCCGGAAGGGTATCTGTAGACGTTCTCCCTTCCTCATTTCCCCCTACTACCGTCCTTGTAATGACAGATCAAAATCCAAAATCAAACTCACTGCCTCCACTCGGTTTCGACTCATAGCGATCCCCTTTGGGTTTCTGAGGCGGTAGGTATCCGAATTCCAGCAGATCTTGAGAGTGTTTCGTTATGCAAGCCGTTCTCCTAGACGTACTAGTTGGAAAACCAAACCAAACTCACTGCCATTGAGTTGATCCCAAGTCATAGCGTCTCCTATTGGATTTCCAAGGCTGTATATCTTTACGGTTGGAAACAAGGAGTGAAAGTAGGGTACGGCGCACGGAGCCTGTGTACCCAGCGCCGGGTTTCCTGGGAGGCCCTCGTAAGGGCTGGACTCTGCTTATTCTGACTATATACAAGTTGATGGAGGAAGGAGAGTCAAGCATAGGAATTTGTATTAGAGTTGCCTGTTTATTTCCCTACCTGGAGCTGGGCTCACTCTGATGTAGCTTCACCACTCCTACCGTGTTGCTGCCCCATTCAGGGCAAACCTAGCCTCTCATGATCTTTGCACCTGCTGACATACTTTGCCCTCGCACATACACTTCAAAAACATGTTCTTAATTCGTAACATCCCTGAAGGCTTCCTGAAACCCAAACAACAACAAAAATCCACTGCCACTGAGTCAATTCCTGTGCAGTGACTGAATAGGTTTTCCGAGGCTGTAAATCTCTACCGGGAGGAGCTCTGGTAGCCTAGTGTCTAAGACATTTTGACTACTAACCAGAAGACTGGCGGTTCAAACCCTTCAGCCACTTCTTAGATGCAAGATTGGGCGATCTACTTCCGTTGTGATGCCGCTTTGGAAACCCAAGGAGGGGTCGCTATGAGTCGGATGCAACTCCACTGCAGTGAGTTTGGTTTATTTTTAAATCCTGTATACAGGAAGCAGACTGCCTCATATTTCTCCTGCAGAGCACCTGGTGTGCTCCAACTCCCCATCTTTTATTCAGCAGCTGGATGTTTTAACTACTGCACCATCACAGATCCTTGAAGGCTTCCTGAACTGACCCTAAATTAGTTGGCTCCTATTTGGGAACCTGTAATCCTTGCACCTGCCTTCATTATTGCGCTTATCAGACCTATATTGAAATTACTTTTGCCCTATTTAGTTGGGGGTATTCAGGAACTCTAGCACTTTGTTGACAGCTCTGTAGCATAGTGCCTAAGGCACTTGACTACTAACCAGAAGGCTGGCAGTTCAAACCCACCAGCCAGTTCTTGGAAGGAAGGTTAAGAAATCTACTTCCTTAGTGATACTGCCTCGGAAACCCAAGGAGAGGTCACTATTAGTCAGCTCCAACTTGATGAGTCATAACAACAACAACAACCCTCCTTGGAAGGAAGGTTAAGAAATCTACTTCCTTAGTGATACTGCCTCGGAAACCCAAGGAGAGGTCACTATTAGTCAGGTCCGACTCAATGGCAGTGAGTTTGTTTTTTGTTCTCCCGCATAGAAGGCAAGCATTCTACCGCTGAGCCGCCACTGCCCCCCAGCACTTAGTCCAATGAAGAACTATCTGAAGGAATTCTTAAAAGCGGCTGCTCTATTCTAGCAATCAAAACGATCTGCTTCAAATCCTAGTAACAATCACTTTTCAGCTTTTCTTCGTGTAAAGGCAATCCAGTAACAATAAATGTTTTAAAGATTATGAGTGAAGAAGGCATTCTGGATTCCAACTCAAGTAACTGAGAAGGAAAGCAGGAGAGAGCGTGAGGAAACAAAGCACTGACACCAGAGCTTTCATGATCACACTTTTATTAAGGAAACTTCTCATAATAAGTGAAGAGGTAGTTCGTAGTATGTCTAACATACAACAGATTTAGAGCAGCCGTTCACAAGCTGAAATAAGATGTTCTGGGTTGGTTATTTAGGACAGTATTTTAGAAGCAGTGACACTAGTCTCCCCCATTTATAGACCTTCTAATAAAGAAACTAAAATTAAAACCACATTTGATTTACCTCAGAGCCATTTCAGTTTGGAGTTTGCCTTTAAAATCAAATAATAAATAACTGTGGCAAAGTAATTTTTTTTTTAAAAAGCCAAACTATTTTGATAAAGAGAGTCCTCTCTCCTTTTTAGTTACCCTGCGGATCCATAAAATAGAAATGCTAGATGACTAGCTTTAAAAATCCTCCTTCTGTACAGGAATCTGTCTAGTTCTGAAAGTCATCTTCCCCTATAAAACACTGGATATCAGTAACTTGACCAGTTTGCAATACAATCTAAGAAACATGTATAACAAAGAAGGAGAAATATTAGGTTCTACCAAAATTAAGACAATGTCTCACTGAAACATAGAACCTCTCTCCAGGCAAGAAATGGAGGAAACTAGAAGTCACTTCAGTGATTTGTATTTACAAAAAGTGAGACAAATTTATCAAGATGCTGATTTTAAGTGATCAAAAGAAAGCAAGGCAGTTTTATTGTTTCTAGTATACAATCAAATTGAGACACTGTGTATCACTAAGACCACATGAGCCTACAGGCTCCATGAGGGCAGGGACTGTATCAATCTTACCTTCAAATTCCCAGTGTGTAGTATAGTGCTTGGCAATAGTACGTGCCTAGGAATTATTTCTTGAATGACTAAAAGAACCCAGAAACAATCTCCAGCCAAAGAGACCAATCTTATTTGACCTCATTCTTGTTAATCTTCAAACGAGTTTAAAAACAAGAAGGAAAGAAAAGAGAGAAAGAGAGAAAGAGAGAGAGAGAGAGAGAGAGAGAGAAAACAACAAACAAACTAGGATATAAATGTGAGCAAAAGAAGCACTCCAATTTGAAATTCCTCTGTGATGAAATGATGGTCAGAGAAAACACAAAACATTGATATGTTAGTGCTTCATTGTTGCATAGAATGGATACTCTTTGGCTGGAGTATATAAAAAGAAGAATGCTAGGACACATCATTAGACTATATAATGAGTGACTTCAGGCATGAAGGTACCACTTATCACTCAATTGTATTAGTTTAAATCTTTGAACAAATGATATAAATTATACCTCAAATCAAATTCACATGCAAATGCATCAAATTATAACAACTTTTAAGAATTCCCTCCAACTATACAAGTTAAGCTTCATTTTTGGTTTATCTGTACATGCATTCTCATAGCTCAAAAAAAAAAAAAAAAAAAAGCCCGATAATAACTATTTAAATAAACACTGTTTTCAGACAAAACCAGTTTCACATTTGGATACTCATTATTCTAACTTGCCAATAATGCCCTTTCCTTCCCTAACAAACACCCAGCAAATCAGTGAACTTGCTTGGGAAGGGTATAATACTCACTGCAACCAGAAAACAATTAACTAACATAAATAAATCCCTCTGTGACATTTTGTTGACAGAGTCTCAGAATGTCAACAGGAATACACAAAGGTAAAACACGAAGCTGAGAGCATTTTGCTAGTGTATTATTCTTGATCATGTACTAGATGTTTTTAAGGCTGAGGACAGTGGGAATAAGTAAGGAGACATTAGCTCCTATTTAATCACGTATATATCTTGGCCAACCTTGGCCAGACCACCTCTTTGGGCTTTAGATTTAAAATGAAGGTGATGGAGTATATAATCTTGTAAGATTCTCCAAGGACTCTAGCACTTTCATTATCTAAATCTAACTTGTTCAGAAACAAGTGACATTCAGACTTTTATTTCTGAAATATAGTGTGTGCTGAAGATTAACTTTGTATTAGTGATCTATCAGAGGTGGAAAGACAGAACTGTATACATTCAAGAGGAAAATCTAAATGCAAAAATTTAACTGCCCCTCCTGCAACTCACTTAACATTTTTAAATCCATTTTTGAAATAAAGGTATACTAGGAAATGAGACTCTTACAGTACATTGGACAAACTGATGGGCTAACTCACCTTCTGATGACTAAGTTTTGAAAGTTTTCCCACTCCCATTGTCATCCAGTTGATTCCAACTCTTAGCGACCATACAGGACTGAGTAGAACTGCCCCATATAGTTTCCAAAGCTGTAATCTTTACAGAAGCAGATCACCACATAGTTCTCCCATGGAGTGGCTGCTGGTTTGGAACTGCTGACCTTTTTGGTTAGCAGCTGAGCGCTTAACCATTGCACCACCATGGCTCCTTGAAACAAAGTTTAGACACTCCCAAAGAGGCCCTTTTTAGAAAGACCATTATACTTCAGCACATTTTAAGTGTTCCTGGAGTAATGTGGACTTCAAATCATCAACAGGTAAATTACACATTAATTGTAAGTATCTGGCCTCTTGGTGGGATGTGCTACCAGGAACAGTTCTTATGGAAGTGCTGTTGCATAATATAATTCTATCCTTTGCTGATTATGTTCTTAATGATGATCCCTAACTATCTGTCTGCAAATGTTGCTGAAATATTGTACTCTGGTTTATGTGAACAATTCAAAGACATGAAGTTGGGCTACAACTGAACGACTACTGAGCAAACCAAAATACTTCTTTATAACCAACCCTAAGACAAGTATAATGGTAGGAAGCAGATTCATCCAATGATCAGACATAGATGAATTATCAATAAGCAACCAGAAGTTTTACCACATATTCATTTCAGGTCAACAGCAATATCACCTTGTATCTCAGCTTATTTTCTGCCAAAGAAAAATATTATTCACTTTTCATAGCATAGCATCTATTAGTGGAGAGTAGGTGATGTTATTAATTTGTTGGTACTTTCAGAATGTTCCCAGTGAAAAGCCTAAAATAATGTCAGTCTGAAACACAAGTCAATGTTAGGTAGACATATGGAATACTCCTTGGGAAAGAAAACAGTCATCACAGGATAAATAATTCAAAACAGAAAATGGGAGCAGGCAGAAGGCAGGCAAGACCACTACATGTGGTAAGCTGCCTGGTCTACCAGTGCT